GTGTACAGCCCCAGAGCCGAGAGCCCTGGGTCCGACCCCTCCCCGCACGGCAGCTGCCTCCCCCCCAGCTCCACCCGCATCATGCCCTCCCAGCCCCAGTTCACGGCTGACAGGTAGCGCAGGAAGGCCAGGCCCTGCAGGCTGTACGCGGAGAAGCGCTGCATGCAGCCGGAGGCCAGCAGGTTCAGGGCTGTGAAGGGGGGAGGTGTGCGGGGTGTGTTGTTTTCTTGGGGGAGGGGCGGGGCGCCGGGTGGTATAAAGGAGGGAGGGAAGGCGCCGACAGCCGATTGGCGTCCAAGGTGCAGATTGACTGCGGCTTCTGGTGGCTCACAAGGATACACCCACCCAATTTTTATAACGAAGGCGGCGTCTGGATGGTCGGCTCTGCACAGCTGCCACTTACCTGTAATGGCGATGGCCATCATGAAGGCAGTGTCTTGAGAGGAAGCCACTGTAGCGCACAGGTACACACTCTGAATGGATGGAGTTGCGAGGAGGGTTCACCAAAACGACAACCAGCCTCAGATACGTAGGAAGCCGTGTGCATGCACCACACATGGTGCAGCAGGTGTGGCCACTGTGCACATGGGCGGGAGCCGCAGGGGCTGTAAGACCTATGGCAGCAGCCGCAGAACCAACAGCTGCAGCATGGCCCCGTCGGTCCCTCCGCAGGCTTGCGGCTCTGGTGCCCAACCCAAGCAAGATTGGTTTGGTCACCTGCGTGGCTGTCAGCGACATCAGCACGCTGATGATAGCGCTGCGCAGCACGTTCTCCGCGCCATGGCGCAGGCCGGTCATGCCGTAGGTGATGAGCTGGAACGACAGGGCGGAGGCGATGTTGAAGGGCAGCACGGCCGTCACCTGCAGACGGTAAGGGGGGGTGCAGGTGACCGGCCAGCCCAGGCCTCATACGCCTCAGCGGCCACAGACCTGGTATTGAACAAGGTGGTGCCAGCCAACCAGCAGAGGCGCGCCAAGCACGTGCAGTTGCGACAGTTGCATCGGCAGTTGGGTCTTGCCACACACGCAGCAGGGGCCCTCAGTGTTGGGCGGGTTTCACGTGATTGCGGCAAAGCACCACGCAAGGCACCGCGGTCCGTGCCTTAGCGGCGTAGTAGGCTGCCGGGCTGTAGAGGCGCGCTGCTGCATCGCTCAAGAAGAACGTGCGGTCGCCTGCAGTTGGTTGGGAGCGGTTGAGGAGTGCACCAGTGAGCAATGACTAGTATGCGGCCTGCTGGTGGTGGGACCTCGCTATGTTTGTCCAGGGCAACTGAGACTCATGTGCCCCCGCAACTTGCAGGAAATGAAATGCTGGCCACACAGTGAGAAAGCATATGTGTGTTTGCCCCTCCCCTCCATTAATCCCGTCTTCGCACTCCAGAAGAGGCCCATGAAGATGAAGGGCATGTACATGTAAAAGGATATGATCCCGTAAAGTGCCTGTGTGTGTGTGTGTGTGTGTGTGTGTGTGTGTGTGTGTGTGTGTGCGCGTGCGTGCGTGTGCGTGTGCGTGTGCGTGTGCGTGTGCGTGTGAGTGTGTGCGCGTGCGCGTGCGCGTGCGCGTGCGCGTGCGTGTGCGCGTGTGTGTGTGTGCGCGTGTGCGTGTGTGTGTGTGCTTGTGCGTGTGCGTGTGTGTGTGTGTGCGCGCGCGTGTGTGTGTTCGCGCGCTCGCACGTGTGCGTGTGCGCATGTGCGCAAGCACGCGCTTGTATGCGTGCGTGCGCGCACGAGCGGCCTGCACGATTTATTGGCGTGGAGTGTTTGATGGGACATGCCGCAGAACAGCTGTGGGGGGCAGCAGGGCACTGCATGGCCAATTGCAAACGTGCAAGGGCAGCAGTATAAGAGGCATCCCTGCGCTCGGTACAGCCGCATGCTTGAGGGCACACAGTAGTGTCAACCTGCTGGTGCCCGGGACAGACCTCTCCCCCAGGTCAGGACCCTCGTACGTACGCCCGTACGCAGGCACACGCACACGCGTTGCCTGCAGCTTGCTCACCCCGATGCGGTCCTGAAGAGAGGATGCCTCCCCAGGCACTGCGTACCTCACCAGCCCGTTGAGCACCCCAACGAACGCAAACATCGCCATGCGCCCCGCCACGTCAGCAGGGTTGCGCACGAGACTGACGGCCTCGCGCCACAGCAGCGCGCGGTAGTGGCGCTGCAGCCGCCGCAGCCGCAGGCTGAGGGGGTCGTGGGCGGCGCCGCTGCTGCCAGCGGCGACGCGTGTATGCACGTGCTGCTGTTCTGTCCGTGGATGATGCACGAGCAAATGAGTTTGGTGGCCGCTAGTGGCGGGCACCTGCGCCGCAAACCACTCTGGGTGCTCTCGCTCCAGC